GAAAAGGTCAACAGAAGTTATACTTGGTTAGTGTGCGCATGGGCGTATCATGGGGGCTCCCAGACCACCTCCATGTTCTGTGGATCACAATAAGGACTTAGCAGCCTTCAGCATATAGTCGTACTCCAGCTAAAATTTATTACAGTGAAAAGATAAGATGAAAAATCAGCAAAGGAGAAAGTTGCTTGGGGTAGGCTAGAGGAAACTAGGTGCAAGCTTCCAAGAGTCCCTCTCCCATTAGAGTCACACAGGACATACTTAATTCATTCAGCAGTGAATTGAGACAACACGTATGGTATGTCATCTGAGCCTAGGAGTCCAGGGTTTTTTTTGTTTGTTCGTTTGTGTGTGTGTGGGGGGGGATTGGTGTCAGTCACAACATACTTATCTGGCAATTACCAAAAATTCAGACTCCCAGAAGGAAGCATAATTTCAAAGAGGTATGTTCACCATAATCCACATTGTTTGTATTAGATCTGTTAATATGAAATGTCTGATTTTGAATCAAAAGTGTAGTTCATTATATCTCAAACAACAAGTAGTACGATTAAAGTATTAGCCTAAACTATCAGCATAGTGTTGGCATCTTAACAGTAGCTTGTTTAGGCCAGCAGCAAAGAAGCCTGGAAAGCAATGAAATCGCAAAAGGTGTTTTCGCAGCTTGTTGAGAATTGAATATTTTTCCTTGTAAGACGTGGTCCAAAGCCTGGAAGAAGTGGTAGTCAGTTGGTGCAAGGTCTGGTGAATACAGTAGAAGACAAAAGCAAGTCCATCTTCTGTTTGAGCAGCATTGTTTGTGTGACTTGTGGTCGAGCATTGTCTTAGAAGAGGATCGGCCTGTCTCTGTCTCAACTGCTCAATCACAAGCATCCTCATCGTTTCATCCAGTTGGTTGTAGTAGACATCTGCTGTAATGGATTGATCAAGTTTCATGAAGCTGTAGTGACTAATACTAGTGCTGGATCACCAAACACACACCATTAGCTTTTTTTGATGAATATTTGGTTTTGGACTGTGTTTTGACATTTCATCTTTATCCATCCATGAACCCGTGAGATTGTCAAAAAGAATCCATTTGTTATCCATCACATGTAACAATGCAGTGTAGAAATGGTTTGCCTTTATGTCGTCACAGCAAAGAAAGGCGAGCTTCAAGGCAATTTCTTTTTTGGTACTCATTTAATTCATGTAAAACCCATCTACCTAGCTTCTTTATCTTGCCAGTTTGTTTCATATAGTCCAATATTGTTGCAGTAGTAACGTCTAGCCTTGCTGCTAATTCATGTGAGGTTGAGATGGATTTGCTTTCACTATACCTTTCAGCTCATCATTATCCACCTTGGTCTCAGGTTGCCCATGGCTCATTTTCAAGATTAAAATCACCAGAATGGAGTTTCTCAAATGATTCATATACTGTGTGTTCATTAACTACATCTTTCCCAAACACTTAGTTTATATTTCGAGCTGTCTGCACCATATTGGTTCCATGACAGAACTCATATTTGAGAATAATATGAATTTTTGATTTATCCATGGTTTCACAAAAATTGCTTTAACAAAAAATTTGGAAGATAATCACAAGCCAAAACGTGCATTTGAAAGAATGAGGATGTACCTTCACACACACACACACCCACCCACCCACACCCACCCACCCACAGACACACATACATAAAAACCCAAAAGTGTCAAAGTGAAATGCCAGAGATATCAACTGTCAAACTTAGTATTCATTTCATACTTGATAAACTAATATGTATATTGACAGAAAAGAAAGTCTGACGTGGTATTCATGAAAATGTGTGGAGCTCCTCTCCATATGATAGGCTTTCAAGGGACTGACTTTCCTCTACAAAAATTACTATGTTGTTTAAATTTTCCACAGTGGGACATTGTTGAAGTTTATAACCAAACTGATGATTGATTTGGTGGCAAAATGGGGAGAAAAAAATTCCAGTAACTCCAGATTTACCATGTTTGAACACTTAAATTTGTTTTCTTTTAGTCTTTTTTTGGTATATAATATGTACTTACATTGGTAAAAAGAATAAATTTAGTAATTGTATAGTAAACAAAATTTGTTAGATTTGACAGACTTTTGTTAGCACCTAAAGATGAACATGAAACAAACAGGATGGGTGAGAAAATGGTCAAAAGGAGTTTCTATAGGAAATAGTACATAAAATGAAATCATAGATATCAACATTTAGCATATGTCCCAATAAACAAAAAATAAGACATAATTCTTTAAGCATTGCCTTTGTATACCACACATACCCATGTTCCTCCATCCTTTGTGTTGTATAATGTCATGTTCCTCCATCCTTTGTGTTGTATAAGAAAATGACTGTTCTTTGCTCACTTTTTCATGTCTCTTTAGACGTGGAATTATAGAAACAAGATGACTGGTTTGGTGGAGATTGTATAAATTTGTATGTATTAGACAAGTTCCCTCCCCGAAGGCTGTATTTCCTCTCTCCCCTAATTAGAGTTGTCTAGTGGCCCATATTCATACATTGAAAGTTTAAAATTTATAGATAAAATACCCGATACTCTAGATGTCATATTTTTCTCTTAATTTTATTTACCGTTTCCCTTGGCTTCATGTAATTTTATCAATTCCCTATAAGTTTGTCATGTTCTGAGAGACAGATGATCAGCTTAGTTTATTTTCCTTCTTGAGTCCCTTTTTCTGGATTTTCTTTGAGGTGGAGTGGCCTTGTGTTATTGGAGGGGTGTGCTCATTTGTTTGGTGGTCTCTACTCAGATTTAGTTCTTATCTGGTTCTATTACTATTCTGATGTTTGTGGTGCTGCCATGGCTTCCAGTGGGTGAATGGTCCATATAATACACTTTAATTTTGGCCGTGGGCCCCTTTGGGTACCCTTATGAGTACCACACCCCAAATCCCTTTTCTTTTGGATTCCAACTCAGTTTATCTGAAGTTTCTATAATATCATTTCACCACCCCATGATATTCTGTTCCTGCTTTTAAAATATCTGTAGTAGCTTAGTAATAATTTTTAAACAATCACTTTATGTCTTTTCCTATGGTCTAGGGTCTAAAGTTCATGTTAATCTCTGGAAATTTATGTGTAAAGAAAAGCTTTTGGAATCTAGAAAGCCCCCTTCATTTCTCTAGCTCTTCTAGTTAAGTTCACTTAAGTTAAATAACTTAAATAAGTTCACTTATTTCTCTCTGAATGAAGCATCACTGGTTTTTGTTTGTTTGTTTTTTGTTTTTTTTGGAGGGGGGTTGTTTTGTTTTTTGAGACAGAGTCTCACTGTGTTGCTCAGGCTAGAGTGTTGTGGCGTCAGCCTAGCTCACAGCAACCTCAAACTCCTGAGCTCAAGCAATCTTTCAGTCTCAGCCTCCCAAGCAACTGGGACTACAGGCACGCGCCACCATGCCTGGCTAATTTTTTCTATATATATATGTTTTAGTTGACCAATTAATTTCTTTGTATTTTTAGTAGAGACGGGGTTCTCACTCTTTTTCAGGGTGTTTTTTTTTTTTTTGAGACAGAGTCTCACTTTGTTGCCCAGGCTAGACTGAGTGCCATGGCGTCAGCCTAGCTCACAGCAACCTCAAACTCCTGGTTCAAGCAATCCTCCTGCCTCAGCCTCCCAAGTAGCTGGGACTACAGGCATTCGCCCCACCATGCCTGGCTAATTTTTTGTATATATTAGTTGGCCAATTAATTTCTTTCTATTTATAGTAGAGATGGGGTCTCGCTCTTGCTCAGGCTGGTTTCGAACTCCTGACCTTGAGCAATCCGCCCGCCTTGGCCTTCCAGAGAGCTAGGATTACAGGCGGGAGCTACCGCGCCTGGCCTTCAGGGTGGTTTTGAACTCCTTACCTTGAGCAATCCTCCTGCCTCAGCCTCCCAGAGTGCTAGGATTACAGGTGTGAACCACCCCGCCTGGCCAGCATCACTGGTTTGAAGGCAGTATAAATAGATTTTAATGCAGCTTATGTGGTGAACTTACAGCAAAGAAAATTTTAATACCAGTATCTCATCCATTCTTTTTACTCCTCCCTCTCCATGAACTCTTCCTCCTATTTAAGAAAATAATAAAGGTTTTCTAGTCATATCTTTGATCATCCTCTCTTATCTCTTCCCTCTCCTCCCAACTTTCTCCTCCAATATCTAGTGTCCTCTGCCTGCCCTCCTTCACTTTTGCTTGACTGACATCTTTTAGGTCTCATTTTTGGTTTTAATGTTTTTGAAGAATTTTTAAGGCAGTAGTCATAGACACAAGGAGACTAGGAGGCAGGCAGAGATCAGTTGGTTGAGGTGGTGGGACATATGGACAATGATGGCTACATACATAAAAATGAGGGCGTTCTTTTTCATTGTATTTTGTAAAAGTTGACTATAGTGGTTATGCTGGTTCATAATTATGCTTTATTTACTCATCTTTTTCTTGCTTTGACATTCACCTATGTCTGGCTCAGCAAATGTTTATTGACTGATTTTATGAGTACGTATGGTATTTCTGAGACATTTTCCTAAAGTGAGACATTTCCAAGTGTATTTATTTATTTATTTATTAATGAATGAATGAATGAATGAATGAATGAATGACAGAGTCTCACTTTGTTGCCCAGGCTAGAGTGAGTGCCATGGCGTCAGCCTAGCTCACTGCAACCTCAAACTCCTGGGCTCAAGCAATCCTCTGGCCTCAGCCTCCCGAGTAGCTGGGACTACAGGCATGCGCCACCATGCCTGGCTAATTTTTTCTACATATATTATTAGTTGGCCAATTAATGTCTTTCTATTTATAGTAGAGATGGGGTCTAGCTCTTGCTCAGGCTGGTTTTGAACTCCTGACCTCAAGCAATCCGCCCACCTCGGCCTCCCAGAGTGCTAGGATTACAGGCGTGAGCCACCGTGCCAGGCCCTATATCTTTATTATTATAAAAAATTTCTAGCAGGATATTAATTCTGGACACTACATTAATTCTTATTAAGAATTCTTCTTTTATTCCTATCCAGGACCCCTCGTCCAGTCATTGTGGAGCCCATGGAGCAGTTTGATGATGAAGATGGCTTGCCAGAGAAGCTGATGCAGAAAACGCAACAGTATCATAAGTAAGATTTTATTTTTTAAAATTTATTTATAAATGTATCTTAAATTTTTATGGTTATATAATAGTTATATATATAGGGTACATGTGATGTTTTGATACAAGCATATACAATGTGTATTACTTAAGTCGGTAATTTGGGAATTCATCACCATAGGCATTGATCATTTCTTTGTGTTAGGAACATTTCAGTTCCGCTCTCTTAGTTATTTTAAAATATGTGTCAACTTATTGTTGACTATAGTCACTTTTTTGTGCTAACAAATCTTTGTCCTATCTATATTTTTGCAGTAAGATTTTATTAATAAAGACATTTTAGATATGTGCTATCAAGGGTGTTTATAACATTACATCACTAGACCCTGAACCCTGGAGTACTCAAATGTACAGAGGTTAGGAAGATCAGAAGGAATCAGAAAAGACTGAGAGGGAGGGAGCGTTCATGGGACAGGACGGGACAGCTGTGTCTTGGAAGCAAGGGAAGAGAGTATTTTAGAGAAGGATGAGTAGTAATTGATTGTAATTCACAACCATTTGAATTTTTCTTATAATGTTATTTTTAAAGGATTTCCTATGATTTTCTGTTCACCTGACTTTTTTCTTGTTATAGATTGTATTACAAATTTGAAATAGAGCACACTTTTGGATTTGGTAATTAGAGAACTGAAATTACAAGGGTTTACAGGAAGTGGAATCTATAGACAATATTTGTTTAAATGAATTTAGTTATCCCAGCAAACCTTATAAGAACTAGTTATATTCCCAATTTTTCTACTAAAGGGTAGAGGAAGTGCTCAGAAAGCATAACAACTAAGATTCAAATTCAGTTCTAACTCCAAAAATATGTGTTATTTCAGTGGTGTTTCCTTTGGGAGAAAATGAGTTTTTAAACATTTGTATAATAGTCAATCTCTGACTTAGGAACTGCTGACTAATAAACAGTTCTGAAAAAATTAGTGGTTGGTAGATCCTCCTACTCCTTCCCACTTTCCAGTATTTTAAAAAGAAATAATACAAATACATTTTTCAGATTAGAATACCTAGGATCATGGCTAACTTTGATTTTTGTCATATGCCTCTGAAGATCTTCGAAGCTCTTTCATGTTACTATATCTTTTCCTCTCTAACATCTTCCTCTATCTGTCCCAACTTTGTCCCACCCACTCATGTTCACTTCCCCACCCCAAAATAAAAGTTAAAATTTATAATTGCAGCAAAGTATCAATACTTTTATTGGTAGAGTGGAGATTGTGTTCCTATTAGTACTTTTTGTTTTTGAGATAGGATCTGGAGTGCAGTAGCTCGATCATAGCTCACTGCAGCCTTGAACTCCTGGGCTCACGAGATACCTTATGTAAAGTAGTTCATTGAATGAAAACCAGAAAAGCCTTATAGGAGGTTTTAATATCAGATTGCATTTTTTTAACCCCCCAACCTCCATTACATAAGTTCGAATACTAGTTCCATCACTTATTAGTTGGGCATTCTTGGGCAGTTTCTTACACTCAAGCCTGTTAAACTGGCACCACAATATTGCTATGAGGTATTAATAATTCCTGTAGAGTACCTGCCTGACACAGTGCCTTGAACATTGTAAGTCCTTAATAAATGATAAGTAGTTGTTATTTCTCATTTGTCGTTTAACGTTTTGAGCATACATTTCTGTATGTTTTTAATGTAAATTTAGGGAAAGAGAACAGCCACCACGTTTTGCTCAACCTGGGACATTTGAATTTGAGTATGCATCTCGATGGAAGGCTCTTGATGAGATGGAAAAGCAGCAGCGTGAGCAAGTTGATAGAAACATCAGAGAAGCCAAAGAGAAACTGGAGGCAGAAATGGAAGCTGCTAGGCATGAACACCAATTAATGCTAATGAGGCAAGGTAAAAATAGATTTTCATACATTTGTGGTGTGATTTTCTTTTTTTCCTTGAGGTTCATTTGTACATTTGTTCATTTGTACATACCACTGATATGTATTACTATTTAAGTTGCTTAGAGACATAGTTGGAATTCAACGTATTAGATATAAAAATCTCCCTTTTATGTGAGAACTTCCCTTAAAAAAAATTATAATTTCTACATGAGTAATGTTGGAGGTAATTGAAGCATGTTAAATTTTGCTAGTAGGCTGAGCGTGGTGGCTCACCCTGTAATCCTAGCACTCGAGCCGAGCAGGAGATCGTCAAGGTCAGGAGTTTGAGACCAGCCTGAGCAATAGCGAGACCCCATCTCTACTAAAAATACGAAGAAATTAATTGGACAACTAAAAATATATAGAAAAAATTAGCTGGGCATGGTGGCGCATGCCTGTAGTTCCAGATAACTCAGGAGGCTGAGGCAGGAGGATTGCTTGAGCCTAGGAGTTTGAGGTTGCTGTGAGCTAGGCTGACGCCACGGCACTCTAGCCCACGCAACAGAGTGAAACTCTGTCTCAAAAAAAAAAAATAAATTTTGCTAGTAGCAGAACATGATTCTCTTGTCAAAAAGAAAAACCCAGTGGGCAATTCTTGGTAGGCAGACATGGCATACAGCCACATAGAAGATTTTGTTTGGTGAAAAGAAGAATTAGGACAAATGCTGACGATTTAAGATTATTACTACACGTCGAAAGAGGATAAGTTGGATAATTTGGCAGAGATGAAAAAGATTCATGTGTGTAGATGGATATGGGGTTTCAGGAAGGATAAATTCTTAGTAATTGGCAAGAACATTTTAAACCCTTGATCATGCTATCTGAATTTCTAAGAATGGTTATAACAGTTGATAATTGATTCTTATCCACTGGTCAAATTCCTAACAATATGATAAACTGCTAGATCCAAATCCTGTTACATTTTATGATTATTTATTTCTTCTTCTTCTTTTTTTTTTTTTGTACAGATCTTGCTTTGTTGCCAGCGTAGAGTGAGTGCCCTGGCATCAGCCTAGCTCACAGCAACCTCAAACTCCTGGGCTCAAGCAATCCTTCTGTCTCAGCCTTCCGAATAGCTGAGACTACAGCCATGTGCCACCATGCCCGGCTAATTTTTTCTATATATATTTTTAGTTGGCTAAATAATTTCTTTATAGTAGAGATGGGGTCTCACTCTTGCTCAGGGTGGTTTCGAACTCCTGACCTCAAGCAATCCGCCTGCCTTGGCCTCCCAGAGTGCTAGGATTACAGGCGTGAGCCACCGTGCCCGGCCTCTCATTTCTTTTTGATCACCAGTATAGGAGACAATTCCTGAATTTTCTTCATAGTTATTTTTATGTTACTTTTGTTACCATAACTTATATAACTCCCAGTAGAAAGTATTAATGCTTCACCCAGTGTTTATTTTATTTATTTATTTTTTGGAGACAGGGTCTTGGTGTGTTGCCCAGGCTGGGGTGCAGTGATATGATCTTTGCTCCAGTGCTGCCTCAAACTTCTGTGGTCAAGCAGTCTCCCACCTTGGCCTCCTGAGTAGCTAGGACTACCTACAGGCACATGCCACTGTGCCATGTATTGTGCTGCTATTCTCTCACTTTCTACTATTGGATTTTTCTTGATTATATTATGTAGCAGCAGGAACTGTGAGCTGGCTCTTTCCTTAATGCTGAAAGCTGATGGAAAGCCGTCTGGTTAGCACCCAAGAAGTGAAGTAAACAGTCATGTCTCCAATGACTACAGTTATGTAGGAGGCCTGGGAATGTTCTTTGAACAACGTATTCTCAAAATATAGAGATTGGGGAGTAAACTGCCATTTGTTTCTTGCCCTTGAGTTCCCTTATTCCCTCTTGAGTTATACTGATAAAAGCAATGTGTGGGCTGGGCGCAGTGGCTCACGCCTATAATCCTAGCACTCTGGTAGGCTTGAGGTCAGGAGTTCAAAACCAGCCTGAGCAATAGCGAGACCCTGTCTCTACTATAAATAGAAAGAAATTAATTGGCCGACTAATATAAATAGAAAAAATTAGCCGGGCATGGTGGTGCATGCCTGTAGTCCCAGCTACTCAGGAGGCTGAGGCAGCAGGATTGCTTGAGTCCAGGAGTTTGAGGTTGTTGTGAGCTAGGCTGATGCAACAGTACTCACTCTAGCCTGAGCAACAAAGCAAGACTCTGTCTCAAAAAAATAAGTTAATTAAAAAAAAAAAAACAATGTGTGCACCAAGGACAGGGCTCTTTGCTCTTAAAAGCCTTGAGTCCCCCGCGCCCACTTATCCAGATAATTGACTACTTTGTCTTCATTTCTGGGGAACCACTTGGTTTGGGATTCCCTGGGTTGAACTGGACTCAGCGATATCATTTTTTCTGTATGCTTTGTACTTATAAATCAAATAAAAATATGTTTAATTCCCATAAATGATATCTTTTGATGCCTGACTACCAAAGAAAAAGAATGAGAAAATAGGTATATTAGGCCCTTCTTTCTTTCTCTTTTCCTGTAAGTTTTTGTTATTTTGCCTCTGTTTTGTTTGTATTTATGCCACTGACTAGAATGTTCTTTTATCATAATCTCCATATGTGTTTACATTTTAATGATGTTTTAAATAGTTTTAGGAATGACTTTTCTGTTCATCACTTGTCTGATGTTTATCCTATCTTGATTTCTTTAATAAAGGCTCATGGTAACAATATTCTCTGAGCTCTTGTATCTACTAAAATATTATCTGTGATCTCATTGTACTTTGGCTTTTGAATGATAAAGAATTCAAGGTCCCCCCCCCCCTTTTTTAAGTTTGTCTTCTAGCATTAAATGTTTCTGCAGGAGAGTCTAAAGTAAACATGAAACAAAAAATTTTTTTTGAGACAATGTCTCTTTCTATTGTCCTTGCTAGAGTACAGTGGCATCATCATAGCTTATTGCAACCTCAAACTCCTGGACTCAAGAAATCCTCCTGCCTCAGCCTCCTAAGTAGCTGGGATGCAGACACTCACCATTATGCCCAGCTAACTTTTCTATTTTTTGTAGAGACAGGGTCTTACTTTTGCTCAGGCTCAAACTCTTGACCCTAAGCAATCCTCCTGCCTCTACCTCCCAGAGTGCTAGGATTACAGGTGTGAGCCACCGTGCCTGGCCTGAATTTTTATCATGCCTGCTTTTGTTACATCTTTCTATCTGTCCATCCTTGTATTCAAAATATATCATGCTGTGCACCATAATATTTCAACTTTTCCTTAAGACTAGATAATGCCTTTTCAGTCTGCAGATTCAAGTCTTATATTTGCATTAGAAATTTTTTTTTTTTCTTTTTTTGAGACAGAGTCTCACTTTAGTCCAGGCTACAGTGCCGTAGCGTTAGCCTAGCTTACGGCAACCTCAAACTCCTGAGCTCAAGCAATCCTTCTGCCTCAGCTTTCTGAGTAGCTGGGACTATAGACATGCGCCACCATGCCTAGCTAATTTTTTCTCTCTATATAATTTTAGTTATCTAATTAATTTCTTTGTATTTTTAGTAGAGACGGGGTCTCACTCTTGCTCAGGCTGGTTTCCAACTCTAGACCTTGAGTGATCCTCCTGACTTGGCCTCCCAGAGAGCTAGGATTATAGGCACGAACCACCGCACCCGGCCTTGAATTAGAATTTGTATTTAGAATTGTTAGAAAGTATATGTTCAGTATTCATGACTGGCACAATATCAAATTGAGAAAGCACTTTTCTCACAGTCTAGCAAATCAAAATTTAAATGTCTATATTCTCTTGCATTCCCTTTTTCTGTATATCAATATTTATGATATATTGAAATTGCATATAGTTTTATGTTCTTTTATCATTAAATTTGTTAGGTAAGCATTTTAAATATTATTTAGTAGTAAGTAGTAATGTAGCTGACGTTTTTGTTGTATTTTCTTAAGAAAAGTTTTCAAGTGTGATTTACTGGATCAAAGGATAAAAATACCTCTAGTTATATATTTATTGTAATTTTTTTTCCTGGAAGGATATCATTATGGCAGTGTACAAGTGTATTACCTTTCATGAAATTTGAGGAACTTTGGATATTAACAACTTAAAAACGTAGTTTAGTAAGATGGTAGTTTTGTTTTCAGTTCGTAGTTCTGAGTATCAGGTAACTGCTTGTCTGGTAATTTGATTGTTGGAGCCTTTCAGCTAATTATACCAATGTTACAGATGAGAATATAAGATTTGAGAAGTTAAATCAGCTGTTTCTTTTTCTTTTTTCTTTTTTTTTCTTTTGGCATATTATGGGGGTACAGATTTTAAGGTTTCAATAAATGCCCTCCCCCCCCACTAAATCAGCTGTTTCAAATTGCACAGCTTAAAAGTAGAAGATCCAGTTGTCAGACAACAAAAATTTATGTTCTTTTTCCTTTTCATGGAAAAAAAGTAACGTATATTTTCACATTTATTATATATGTTAGGTAGCCCCTTATTTAAGAGCAGCCAACGTACAAAACAAGGCATGCAAGGCATGGATAAAATTTTTACAATATATACTGGATTGACTTTCTTTGATTGGTAATGATAGTAGGACACTTTCTGTACTTTGGCTTTTTGAAGCATTTCCTCTTAGGAAAGTAAGTACATTATTTATTATTGTTTTCTACTAGGTTTCCACAGCTAAAATAAATACATGATGGTTGTGTGGTTTTCAGCATTGGTTGCACAATGATTGCATCTAGGGAGCTTTAGAAATAAATATGCTTGTCCCACGTCCCAAGAGATTTTGATTCAGTTGGTCTGAGGTTAAAAGATATTTACATAATTCTAATGAGCATTTAAGGTTGAGAACTGATGTTATAAAGATTTGTAATCATTATAGTCATGTTTAGTGTTATTTGTTTTCTCTACTGGCATGTTATCGAAGTCACCTGGGCCCTGTCCCATGTACTAAAATAGATTTTTCTGAGCAGACTCCCAAAATACATAGTTTTAAAAGTTTCCAATGTGAGTCTGATCAACCAGGTTTGGTTTACATTTTGGAATGAAGAGAGAATTGGCCAGGAGTCCCAGTTCAATCATGTAATAGCTGGGAGTCTGGACTAAGTTTATAATCTGTCTGAATCCTCATCCTTTTTTTGTTGGTATAATTTATATATAATTCAATCTGTTTTTAATTTCTAAAATGGAGAGAATATTTGCGTTGTTGAGGTTATATGCTTGTCTTGCTATGGTTATGACCATATGGTTCTTGGCACCTTAGATTAACTTTTAGCGGTAGTGGTAGTATTATGTTATATATTACTCAGCTATTGAGTATAATGATTTATTAGAAATCATTCAGTTGATAAGTTATGTTCATACTAGAAATTTCAGATAACATCATAAAGAGAAAAGGAAAATAAAAACAGCCGATAATTATGCCATCTAGAGTATTTTAATATTTTATTATATACATGTCTGCACACATAATTTTATACCATATTACAGACAAGATTTTTAGGTCAGAAATTTTTAGCTTAGAATGGTTATATACTACTACTCAGATGTGTAATACAAATGTACTTTTCATTATCTTACTCTGGAATCGGGGATTGGTGTTAATAAGAATGGTTTTTGCTTGCTACTGTTGAAAATAGTTTTGTTCATATCAGTATTCAGCTTGATTTTCCCCTTTCAAAATTTGTCTCTTTGCCTGTCTCCATAAGACATTGACTTAGTGAAGAAGGAATCTTATGCTAATTGTGATGGGAAGTTTGTCCTTTGGGTTTTTTAGTATTTTTTGAGACTCACTCTGTTGCCTGGACTAGAATGCCGTGACGTCAGCAAGCTCAAACTCCTGGGCTTAAGCGATCCTCCTGCCTCAGCCTCCCAAGTAGCTGGGACTACAGGCATGTATCACCATGCCCAGCTAATTTTTTATATATGTGTAATTTTAGTTGGCCAATTAATTTCTTTGCTTTTTTTTTTTTTTCTTTTTTGAGACAGAGTCTGGCTTTGTTGCCCAGGCTAGAGTGAGTGCCGTGGCATCAGCCTAGCTCACAGCAACCTCAAACTCCTGGGCTCAAGTGATCCTGCTGCCTCAGTCTCCCGAGTAGCTGGGACTACAGGCATGCGCCACCATGCCCAGCTAATTTTCTTTCTATATTTTCAATTGTCGAGCTCATTTCTTTCTATTTATAGTAGAGACGGGGTCTCACTCTTGCTCAGGCTGGTTTCGAACTCCTGACCTTGAGCGATCCTCCCGCCTCAGGCCTCCCAGAGTGCTAGGATTACAGGTGTGGGCCTGTCCTTTGGGTTTTATGCAGTTCTCTATCTTATTCTTATTTGTCCGGTCTGGTTCTTAAGTGCCTTCTGCTTGTTTCTCTCAAAGCATTTTTGGAGAATTTGCATTTGCTGCTGAAAAAAATTACAATTTCTTTAAAGATTGTAAATAAAAGCAGGTTAATATAGCTGTCATTTATTTCATTTTTAGTATGTGCTAGGTAGGTCTTATGTTAAAATAATTTCTACCCATTTTAATTTCTTAACAGAGATGAATTTTAATACTCTTTATTATACATACATGCCCAGAAAGTATATTAATTTGATTATGCATCTTATATTTTTTCACTATAAAGTGATTAGTTGACAAATATATTGCTGGTGATAGAGAATATGTTTATTGATGTAAAAATATACAAAGGGAAGCTAAAAACATTAATGTGCAATCAACATTTTACAGATCTAATGAGACGTCAAGAAGAACTCAGGCGCTTGGAAGAACTCAGAAACCAAGAACTGCAAAAACGGAAGCAAATACAACTGAGGTAATAAAAATTCATTGTAACACAAACATGAACATTTTTTTTTTTTTTTTTTTTGAGACAGAGTCTCGCTTTGCTGTCCAGGCTAGAGTGAGTGCCGTGGCGTCAGCCTAGCTCACAGCAGCCTCAAACTCCTGGGCTCGAGCGATCCTTTTGCCTCAGCCTCCCGAGTAGCTGGGACTACAGGCATGCGCCACCATGCCCAGCTAATTTTCTTTCTATATAGTAGAGACAGGGTTTCGCTCTGGCTCAGGCTGGTTTTGAACTCCTGACCTTGAGCAATCCGCCCGCCTCGGCCTCCCAGAGAGCTAGGATTACAGGCGTGAGCCACCGCGCCCAGCCAAACATGAACATTTTTAATTTCAAAATATTTAGAGGGGTTAAGTACTTTTTTTGTATGTGGATGAATCGTATCATGCTGAAGTCAGGGCTTTCAGAGTACCTGTCATCAGCATAGTGTATATTGTACTTGATTTTTTCACTGACCCTCACCCCCTTTCCTAGTTTCCAATGTTCATTACAGCTCTTTATGACCATGTGTATCCCTCATTTAGCTCCCACTTATAAGTGAGAACATGAGGTAACTGTTTTTCCATTCCTGAGATGTTTCATTTAGGATAATGGTCTTCAGTTCCATCCAAGTTGCTGCAAAAGACATTATTTGATGCCATTTTATGGCTGAGTAGTACTTCATGATATATACATATACCACATTTTCTTTATCCACTTCTCAGTTGATGGGCACTTAGGTTGGTTCCATTATCATTGCAGTTGTGAACCATGGGCAATAAACATTTAGGTGCAGGCTTCTTTTTATAAACAGACTTCTTTTTCTTTGAGTAGATACCTAGTAGTAGGATTGCTGCATGGGATGGAAGGTCTACTTTAGTTCTAAATGGATATATTTGAATTGCTCTTAGTTTTAATTTCGTCATGCATGTAACACTACTGTGATTGTCTTTATGCATCTTTTTGCTTCTGATAATTTGTTTAGATTATTGTTTAGATAATTTGTTTAGATTTCTGCAAGTGGGCTCCATGGTAAAAACAGTATGAGCATTTAAAATCTTAGTACCTACTAGATAATTGTGGTGGCCAACTTAAAATCTTTTAGATGTATAAACAAAAATTGATAGTTTTCCTTTTGCCTGTATTTTTTTTGTTTTGTTGTATTTTTGTAGAGAAGGGGTCTCACTATGTTGACCAGGCTGGTCTTAAACTCCTGGCCTCAAGTGGTCCTCCTGCATCCATCTCCCAAAGTGCTGGGATTACAGGTGTGAGCCACTGCGCCTAGCCTTGTAATTTTTAATTGTAAAACATAATGGGATAAATGTTTCAAAAATCATGGTAATTAGGAAAAGTTAGAATAAAGCTATGATAGATGAAACAAACTTATAAATTTGGTTTTGAAGTATTTATTTTAAAAATAACAAGTGCTTGTGGCAAGAAATAAAGTGGTTCATGGGAACTTAAAAGTAAAGAAGAAAGTGAGAAACTGAATCTTTTGCTTCTCCGTAGTCTGCAGATAGGTGGTATTCAGTACATTTCAATGTATTTTTTCCAACTTTGTATTTGATTTTTATCAGTGTATATATGTATATATCAGTGTATATATGTTTCTATATGATTTTACTGTACTCAGTGACATTCTCAAATTGTGGGCCTCAGACAGGCAGCATTAGCATCCTCACGTAGGAATTCATTAGAAGTACAATCTCAAGCCTTTCTCCAGAACCTCTAAATAAGAAACTAGAGTGGTGGGGCCTGGCCACATGGGAATCCTCTGGGTGATTCTGATGAACCTGAAGGTTTGAGAACTGTTGTCAACAACTACCCATGTTAATCGCCTACTTCTGAGACCTTTTTCAATTTTTTCTTTCCCTTTTTTTTATAAACATCTTCTTACAAAGAAAAGGAAACCTCCCCTCTTCTAACATAGGACCTAAACTAAACCCAGCTTTCTCTAATATTTTGACGTGACAGCTAGGCTTTTTCAAATGGCATGCTACCCTTCATGTTCCCCCCAAAATAAACAAATAATGAAAACCAAGCATAATATGGGGTAAAACCCAACATAGAACACAAAAATATAATAAATTAATCTAATTACATTACAAATGAATAACATAATCACATTGAAAGGAGATTCACCCGCACTGTGTGTGGGTGTGTTACCCACACTCCAGCCTGGGTAGCAAAACAAGACCCCGTCTCAAAAAAAAGTCCAAAAAAACCCAAACTCACAGCAAAACAAAACATAAGCCAAGATTCAACCTGAATTACCTCCTAATAGCCAAAGTTGTAACAATTTCAGTAACAACATAAAAAATGATATTAGATTTTAAACCAGTGAATAAAATAAATATAGATGAGTCCATACTGATAAAAGTAATTGAATAAATAAATGAAAGACAAAGCATAGCTATTCCTTATAGTGGAATTCTAATTAGTAAATGCAGAAAGAATGGGGAGATAGAAAATAATAGGCAAATACTGTAGTAATAATTTTTACAAATATGTTTTATTGATGGATGCCAAAGTTGGTAGGCAAAAACTGGAGAAACAGGATTTTTGCATAGTCTCAAAGTTGTATTAAATACAAATGAAAAATAGTAAATTTAAAGTCAAGAAACCTAACAGGTAACACTGTAACCAAATATTAAATTTCATATCACCTGTAATAAGACAGTTGACATCCAGGAACTCCTTGGTAAGATTCACTTAGCACACAGCATCATTTCTTGCCCAGTATGCATAACTTCATTCCAGTCATGAAAAAACATCAGATAAACCTAAGTTGAAGGACATTCTACAAATTAGTCATTTCTCTTTAATAGTGTCAAGTTCATGAAAGATGGAAACACTGAATCATTATAGCCTGGAGGGGGGAGTAAGGAGAAATAAAAAATGCAATGTGGAATTTTGGTTAAGGTTCTGGTATGGAAAAAGACTTATGTGGGGAAACTTGAAATTTTAGTAAGCTCTGTAGTTAATTACAGTATTGTACCGTGTTCATTCCTCGTTTTAGTGATTTTTACCATGGTTATATAAGATTTTTTTGAGACAGAGTCTCACTTTGTTTCCCAGGCTAGAGTGAGTGCTGTGGTGTCAGCCTAGCTCACAGCAACCTCAAACTCCTGGGCTCAAGTGATCCTTCTTCCTCAGCCCCCCGAGTAGCTGGGATATAGCATGCGCCACCATGCCCGGCTAATTTTATAATATATATATTGGCCAATTAATTTCTTTCTATTTATAGTAGAGACGGGTCTTATTCTTGCTCAGGCTGGTTTCGAACTCCTGACCTCGAGCCTCCCAGAGTGCTAGGATTACAGGCGTGAGCTACCTCGCCTGGCCTATATAAGATGTCAGTATTAGGGGAAACTGGATGAGGTATATAGTGGAACTCTGTACTGTTTATGCAATTTTCTGTATGTCTGAAAAAGTTATAAATACAGAAAAGAGAAAAATAGTACTCTGGTGTGGGGACAAAATGGAGAAAAAAAGACACAAACTCTCCCACTATAGAATTTATAGTAATAGATGAGTGACTCTCCCACTATAGAACTTACAGTAATAGATGAGTGAGGCAAACGTTAGTTAGAATGATCAGGTTATTATTTTTTTTTTTGAGACAGAGTCTCGCTTTGTTGCCTAGGCTAGAGTGAGTGCCGTAGCGTCAGCCTAGCTCACAGCAACCTCAAACTCCTGGGCTCAAGCAATCCTGCTGCCTCAGCCTCCCGAGTAGCTGGGACTACAGGCATGTGCTACCATGCCCAGCTAATTTTTTCTATATATATTAGTTGGCCAATTAATTTCTTTCTATTTATAGTAGAGACGGGGTCTTGCTTTTGCTCAGGCTGGTTTCAAACCCCTGACCTTGAGCAGCCCTCCCACCTCAGCTTCCCAGAGTACTAGGATTACAGGCATGGGCCACCGCGCCCGGCCTGTAATGTAAGAATCTTGATTTTAGAAATGTGAGTAACTTGTCTTAAAATTGAGTAGTTTTGCATCATGTATAAAGGAAAGGAAAAATGGGCTGTGTCTAGAAACATTTTGTAGTAAGAAGTGTCAAATATATCCCATACTTTCAAGACAGCAAATCAAGAAAATTGTTACAGTTAAACTGAAGAAATTTATCTGGCTGGGGCTGCTACCACATAAGACAAGCTTTACTTGTTAACAAACCAGATCTTGGTTAGAAGTTAGAAAAAATTGGCTTAGGAAAGTATATTTTGAGATAAATTAAAGAATGTCTTTGAGGTACACAAGTTTCTAGTTTTCCTTTCAATGCTTACAAATAAATTAGTTTTTCATAGGTCACTTAATTCTTTTGTTTTTGTTTTGGAGATAGTCTCCAAAGGCTAGAATGCCGTGGCATCATCATAGTTGGTTGCAGCCTCAAACTCCTGATCCTCCTACCTTAGCCTTGTGCATAGGCTAATTTTTTTATTTTTAGTAGAGATAGGGTCTCACTCTTGGCTCAGGCTGGTCACTTCTTCATTTCTTTTCCTCCCACCTACTTATTCACTCATCTACCCTTTCAGCCATTCATTTCCTTTAAGTCATTCAGCAAATTATTATCAAGCCCTTGTGGTGTCCTGGGCCCTTTGATAGATGTGGGGGGCATAGTGCTGAACAAGAATAGCAGGAAAGTTCTATCCAGTAGGCGTTGCGGCTTAGTGTCTAGGGTCTCTCAAGATTTTCAAAATCCTGCAAAAATAAAAAATAAATTTGTGACCTGTAAATAATTAGTGGGCTTCTAAATAAAACAAGTTTTAGAATTGAGGGAGCTCTCTGAACCTTTTCTCATTGTGAGAGCTGCCAAAAACAAAAAGAGGAAAAAAGTTGCAATTTTATCAGTTTTCAATAAAATACAATGCAAAAGATGTTAAAATTTGTCATAACTGTACTTAATTGTTCCATTTGTGAATATAACCTAGGAAATAATCCTTGACCCAAACCAATAATTTATATAACTCTATAGAAGTGATATTTAAATCATCTTGTGGAGTAGAAATAATTGAAAGCAAAGATGTGAACAACGGGGAATGTTTCTGTATGCTGTTTATAAATTTAGATTATGGAATTGTCATTGTCCTATAGCCATAAGTGCAGTGCTCTTGTTTTCAGAGTGGTATAAAATTTTTCATACCCTCTTGTATGCTCATAGAAAAGACTTTTGAAAGCCCTAATAGAAATAACATTCTTTTTTTACTTGGCTTTTTTCTGACAGCCACACCATACACAGTCTTTTATGTCAGTAGGTATAGACCTACAACTTTTTAACAGTTGTGTTCCTTGGCATCAGTGAACCTTAATTGTCCCCCAGTTAAAACTGATTAATATCTCTTAAACCTTTTGCTTTTACAAATAATGCCACGGAATATTATCTGTGTGTTCATATGTCCTCTTTACTGGAAATGGATTTTGCACATTTAAAATTGTATATTGGAAATTGTCCTCCAAGTAGATCATTGTCCACAATAGTCTCTCTGCAATTCTGAAGACCAAAAAGCCTTGAAACCAAAAGTTTTTTCTTGTATCATTTAGTGAGTGGTAGGATCTGACGTGAGTCTATTTGATGGCAAAGCTTGACCCGAACTCATGTTGCAGTTTTGTAAAACCTTTATCATTTCCAAAGAGTGTGAATGTTCATCTTCCTACAGAAATTTTTTTTTTTTTGAGACAGAGTCTTGCTCTGTTGCCTGGACTAGAGTGCCGTGGCATCAGCCTGGCTCACGGCAGCCTCAAACTTCTGGGCTCTAGCTATCCTTCTGCCTCAGCCTCCCGAGTAGCTGAGACTACAGGCATGTGCCACCATTGCCAGCTAATTTTTTCTATTTTTGGTAGAGACAGGGTCTCACTCTTGCTCAGGCTGCTTTCAAACTCCTAAGCTCACATGATCTGCCCACCTGGGCTTCCCAGAGTGCCAGGATTACAGGCATGAGCCACCGTGCCTGGCCTGACATGAAGTCTTAACAGTGAGTTTTTCCTCTAGTAATGGAATAAATCACAATGTCTTTAGTGGACTTGAGTTTTGTCTAGGCATTGTGGTCCTTTGAGGTGATTTATCTCTCATTATGTTCTTGAGTGCCTTTCTGAACTCTGTTATGCTACTGGTAATAGATACTAGACTTTTCTCTTTTTTATACTAAGAGGGTACATGTTTGAGCTTTTTTGAACTCTTTTTTTTTTATTTTATTTTTTTCGAACCCGGGCCGCGGCGGTGAGAGCGCCGAATCCTAACCACTAGACCACCAGGGATTTTTTGAACTCTTGATTTCTTGAATATGAGCAAATGACTGTCCTAGTTACGTTACTCAATTTAGTTAACCTTAGTTAAATTCCTTTATTTCTTTGTTTTTGATTTATTAAAGGCTTGGAGCAAAATAGAAGAAGGTAGGTAAATTGAGGATGTCATGGCCAGTCATTAGTCACAGATTTTGGCATAATGTAAATGAAAATATTCAATTATGGCTCACATGTCATGTTGGTGAAATTTTTGCTTAAAAATTTTTTTAGGCATGAAGAAGAACATCGTCGCCGTGAGGAAGAAATGATCCGACATAGAGAACAGGAGGAACTGAGGCGTCAGCAAGAGGGCTTTAAACCAAACTACATGGAAAATGTAAGTAAAACACTAGTTAACTAAAATGGATTTTATATTGTCAGGTTTACAATGTATATTTAGAATTCTGTAGATTTTGGTTTATGTAGTAGTCAATTTTCTAACCTTTTTGAACATATCATGTTAAACTAGTAATTTTCTCAACCTCTTCCAGGTAGTAAATCAAAATTAATTTCTGAAAATAATATCTATGTTTTATGAAGTGGATGTTATATTTTTCCATTGATCTTTTAAAAGAAATTTGCTAATAAATTAGAGATCTTATATATGTGTGTTATTTCACTTGACTGATTTTTAAACATATACTTATGTTAAAAAGTCTTTTTGGGAAGATTTTAGACATATACAGAAGGAAACTAGTATGTGGTCATTATCCAGCCATAACAATTACTTGAGGCTAATCTTTTTCATCTTTAAGTATGCCCGCTTTATTTTGAAAATTTGTATGAAATTCCTGAATTGATATAATTAATAATTATTTTAAGTATATATCTTTAAAGGATGAGGATTTTAAAAAAATAACTCGTATATTTAAAAATTGTCTGTTCTTTATTGTTAACTTGTTAAAGTTCAGATTTGCTTAGGGCTTACAAATATATATATATTTTTTATAGTTGATTTCTTTGGATTGGTTGATATATATAGTTGGTGTTTTTGGTCTATAGCTTTTCTCTTTTCTTTTTCTTTCTTTTCTCTCCTCCTCTCTCCTCTCTCCTTTTTGCTTTCTTTCTTATCTATCAACAGAGCTTCATTGTATAGTGTATCTCATATCCTCGATTTTGCAGATTGCATCCTTGCAGTGATGTTTGACACGTGCTTTATCCCTGAATTTCCTGCAAACTGGCGTTAGTTCAAAAGACTTGATCTGACTGACCCAGGTTTTTGTTTTTGTGAGGGCAGGATGATTGAGCAAACAAGACTACTTGAAATATATTGAAGTCTACAAGTTCTTAATGATAACTAATAAAGAGCCTCATTATTCACCTTGAAAGATGCCAGTTTAACTCATTATGCTGAAAAGTATTTACTATTATTTTTTCTCTGGTGTTCCAAAGCCATGATTAATAAGAACACAAACTTTTAAAATAAGTTTCTGAGGTTAAAAGTATTAATTCAAATCATTGGTACTTTTTTGGGGGTCCTTTTGTGTCCCCATTTTGTCCCTAGATAATTAAAAAAATTTTTTTATTAAAAAGAATATACACAGTAAAATAAATCCTAACTTGTATACTGATAAGAAATTTTTATCCTACTGTCAAGTAAATGTCCTTTGAATTAAAATTATATAGCACTGAAATTCAGTTAGAGAAGTTTTTGTTTTATAAGTCATTCTAAAGGTTTAATTGATTTTAAAATTCCATTTCCAAATTAGTTGACTTAATTTTTTTAAGCGTTCTAAATTTTGAGTTATTTCTAGCATTATTTTACCATTCTTTACTTTTCTTCTTTGAATATATAGCACTCACTTAGTGACATCTTAGCTTTTTTGTTACATTTGAATATAAATCTGTTGGATTTATCAATGTAAGGGTGTTTTATGATATTGTAAAATAAAGTGAAATTTTTAAGTTTTCCAGATGTATATTTGAAAAATAGTAACTAGTGTTTTTATCTTCAAAGAGAATCATGTATAGACCGTATATACCATATTTAGGCAAACTTCCTTTGAGGATTAGGAAATTCTGCCTACTCTTTTTGTTTACCTGAATATTTACTAAAGTGCTTGCTTATAGTAAAATTGATGGAATTAACTTTCTTAATATTTTTCTGGCATAAATTTTATATTTTTGGAGTGAATGTGTAGCTGTTTGTATAATGTCATACATACATCAATTAGGGGACTAGAAGGAAATGATTAAGTAAAATGTATTCTGCTAAACTTGATTAAGTTGGCTATATCATAAATTCAGTTGCAAACTCCTTATTTATTTATTTATTTATTTATTTATTTATTTATTTATTTATTTATTTATTTATTTATTTTTGAGACAGAGTCTCGCTTTGTTGCCCAGGCTAGCGTGAGTGCCGTGGCGTCAGCCCAGCTCACAGCAACCTCAAACTCCTGGGCTCAAGCAATCCTGCTGCCTCAGCCTCCCAAGTAGCTGGGACTACAGGCATGGCCACCATGCCTGCTAATTTTTCTATATATAATTAGTTGGTCAATTAGTTTCTTTCTATTTATAGTAGAGACGGGGTCTCGCTCTTGCTCAGGCTGGTTTCGAACTCCTGACCTAGAGCAATCCGCCCGCCTCGGCCTCCCAGAGTGCTAGGATTACAGGTGTGAGCCACTGCGCCTGGCCCTTATTCTTTAAAATAATTTTATAATTAAAATAACTTACACACCATGATTTTCTATATGCTTAGTGTTATTTAGTATTCGTATAATCAACAATGGACTATTTCAATTTTACTTTTCTATCTTAAATTATTTGAAACATTGCTACAGCTTAAAATTGAATTACTTGCAAATTCTTTTTTTTTTTTTTTTTTTTTGAATTTTTTTTGATGACCAGAGTTCTCGTTCTTGCCTAATGTCTAAGGTGAGATGAGTGCCGGTGGCGAAAACAGAAACACAAACTGGCTAAACACAGCAAAAAAAAAACCAGAGGACTCGCGGGCTCAAGCGATCTCCTGCTCAGCCTCCGAGTAGCTGGGACTACAGCACTGCGCCACCCTGCCGGCTGATTTTATATTATCATTAACTACTCTAGTTGGTGCAAAAAAAAAAAAAAAGTTGGCCATTAATTTCTTCATAATAAGAGCGAAAAAAAATAGAGACAAAGAAAAAAAAAAAAAAGTCCAAACACAACCAAAAAAAAAAAAAAAAAACAAAAAAAAACACAACAACAACACGCGTCGCTCAGGCTGGTTTTGAACTCCTGACCTTGAGCAATCCGCCCGCCTCAGCCTCCCAGAGTGCTAGGATTACAGGCGTGAGCCACCGCGCCCGGCTTGCAAATTCTTAAACATTTTTGTGTTTAAAATTCATTTTTGTGGTAGGGAAAATTTACAAATATCTAATGAACTTTGAGAATAGATTAATCAAATATTTAAAAATATTCATACTAAACTTACTGGCATTTCAAAAATAGATCATATATTGTTTCAGAAGAGTATGGTCATAAAAAGGATTATGTGCTTATGCATTTAAATACTAAGATAACTTTTTTCTAAGTAGTTAAAATTTGTGTTGCATGTTTTTGAAGCATCATAATTAATTTGACTAGAGTAGAAATCAGGAAACCATAGCCTGGGATCACTGCCTGTTCTCATACAGCTCCACCACAGAGATAGGGTTGGTGTTTACGTTTTTAAAGGGTTATTGGAGAAAAGAAGAAGAAAAACATTAGAAACTATTTGTGATCCACAGTGACTTAAAATATTTGCTCTCTGGCCTTTTTTATCTGTTGAACCTTGGGCTGGAATATTTGTGTTCTTTTGTAAAATTAGTACTTATGTTAGATAGGCCACAAAGGTATTGTGCTGTTGATTTTCTGAAGAGCATCTGTATTTCAAATAGTATGTAAATGAGGTATGATAATTTGGCTAACAGTAGAATTAGATATTTACAGAGAAATACAGTATGTGTTTTATTGTTTTCTTTTGAAATTAGAAATTATATGAATAGGCACAAGTTTTTTATTTTGGTGTCAGTTTTATTTGGTTCCTAGCTTCGTAATTCCTTGTTAATACAAACTTACCAATTACTAAAAAAATGTTAATAAAAGCTCTTTATAGTTCTCATTTATTTTGTATTAACAGGAAAACAATAGGAAAATATTGTGTTACCAGCAGTAACTTGAGGCAGTTGTTATCAGTTATTCATTTACTTTGAAAATTATCTATGGAGAAAATTGTTAAACAATTTTAATGCTTTTTTTTTTTTTTTTGAAAGCTTTGAAATTAGGCCCTCTTATGTGCTCTTTTTTCACTGTTCAGTTTAAAGGGAGAAGTCAAATGGTAAGTGTTCAGCTTGCCCGAGAGTAATGAGTGAAGTAGATTTCCTTCAGTAGTTTTCAGATGCCACTTCTCATTTTTTTCTTGTCTTCCTATTAGAAATATTCCAATGCAACTAAGAGTACAGGGCTTTGGAGAATAAAATAAATATTGATTTACATAGTTTATGTCTTAAATAATATTTTTTTAGTGTAACAAAGGATGAGGAAAACCTTATCATATTTGGTCATATTTTTCTTTGTCAGCCTTCAACTTGATCATAGTTTTATGATACACATGGTGATATATTTTTAAGAGTCTCAAGGATATAAGTCAGTACTTCGTCAATTATAAGTTGTCATTTTTATTTCATACTTTATTTTTCCTTAGAAGAACTTTTTGATAATTACTATTATAATTATAAACATGATATTTTTTACTTTTGTAGAATAATATACTTTTGACTGCCTTAAAAATTTGTGCATTTTTATACTGCCTTAATTACATTTAGGTTTGTTCTTACCATAGTGTAGAGTGTATTTGACCATTTTCTAGCCATTATTCACTAAGTTGAAGTTTTCTGCTTATCACAATCACATATTAGAAGTGATTATTCTGGAAACAATAAGAATTTTATGAGATTGTCTTTCATAATTGCCTTGTGATTATTTTCATGTTAGATTGCTCCACTTACTGTAAATTAATTAGTTTAAATACTTAAGTACTACAGTGTACTATAATCTTTATTTGTGGAAACAGTTTGCCTTGCAGTAAATGGCAGATTTTAATTCTAATATTTTGTTGATACAGTTTCTTAAAGTAAACTTATTGTGAAAATGTCAATGTCATAATATTATCCAGATGTCAGTCTTATTCTAGCTTTAGTAATTGTGTCATGTACTCATGAAATACTTTGGGAAAATTGGGGCAGAGTTTAGGTTGTATACTATTTAGTTTTAAAATCTGAGAAGCTTATTTTTCTGGTATGGTAAATAATATTTGCTTTTTTAATAAAGAAAAGAATAGTGCTCCAGATCTGTTTCAGATATCCTGCATTAAATTAA